CTTACTATTTTCTGTAAGGGAAAAGGCATTGGGTTATCACTCGCAGAACACTGCGCTCTTCCCGGTTTGTGCAGTGAATTGGTTGTATAAATCGGAAGAACTAGCAGTAATCACTGCTGCAGAAAAGTATTTTTTTTTGTTAGCAAATGTTCTTATTAGAATGTTGGCTGTTTGACAGCCGCTTTAAGCGCGATCCATTCAACCAAAATTCCGACCGGTCCGACCTGGAAAAGTGGTCCACCTCAAAAGGTGGACCCGTTTTTTCGAAACTTTTCCGGTTGGACCGAACCGATCCATTGAGTTTTGGACCGAAATTCCTGGAAATTTTGGTTGAATGGATCGCGCCCTTTAATTTATATATGAGGAGAAGTGTGACATCTCGTTACCATGGTAGCACTATTTCTGGATGACAACAAAAGCAACGACGACGGGACGGCAAGGAGAACGGCAAAAAACAATAAGTTTATATTAACAAACAACAACTTTATAACAACTTTGCACGTGCATCACGCTATTTTGTACATTTCTTTGCACCACTATACGACATGAAATTTTCTAATTTCACAAGCCCGGTTTATGAAGTACACAACGCAAATTGTCGCCTTCTTTAGATAGCGATAGATACTGCTCCAAAGAAAATTTCGCCAAGATTTGCCAAATTAAATGAAATCGAATAAGATCGATGAAGTTTGAAATAGTGCGAATAGACTTTTAAGTGACTTTTTTGGTTTGTTGTCATCCAAAATTTTTGCTACCACGGGAACGTGACGTAATGACTTCTCACTGTAAACATAAGATTATGGCGTTCTCCGGCCAGGTTAGTGTATTCCACCGCAAGAAAGAAAACAATCTGAATCAGAGTATTATGCAAAAAACCCATTCGAGGGTTGTACCGCACAGACCTTGAGATACAGCGCTAAGAGGCAAATGAAGGTGTCTTCTAAAGCCCTTGACAATTAAATTGAGAACAAATGTAAAACCTTTACAAAAAGACTGGCTTAAGGCAGTCGGAAATGACCTTTTGTCACACGTTCACTATTCTGGTGTCCCAACACATTCGTTTCAAATCAGCGTGTTGAAACATCTACGGCAAAATCAACAACAATCATCGAGGATTTTTCAATTTTAAGGGAAGGTACGTTTTTTATTGGGGTAGGGGGGGGGTGGGCCGGGGTATTTAAGAATTTTTTGGCGAAAAAAGTCGTGGCCCTTCAGCTTCCTGGAATGGTTTAATGCATGACCCTTCAGAAATACCCAAACAAAAACAATGGATTAATGCATGACCCTTCAGAAATACCCAAACAAAAACATCTGACCCCCCCCACCGATCCAAGACAAAGATAACCGGAAGTGAAAATAACAAACTGGAAGTGTTACTCATATAACCACGTTCATCTGCTCACAAAATAGTTAATTGCGTCAAGGATATACGAGGAATAGAAAGAGGGAAAATGTGCTTGTGGTGAATGCGAGTATTTCCTGAGGTCAGATGGAGCAACTTGTGGCTATTGTGGCTGTTTGCCGACTCGCCATTCTAAAAAGAATACCCGCTACTCCTCTGACTCTGTTGGTGGCACATCGACTGCGGGAACAAGTGAAGGCGCAAGTCCAGAGAAGTGGAAAGATGAAGACCTGTAATGAAGACCTTGGGTGGTTTCCGAAGTTGTCGGTTCAAGCCCGAGTAGCTTAAGTGAAGAATCCTCACCGGAAGACTGATTTTATACCAGAACCCCGCGCGAAGTGGGCACGGGGCGAGAGAGACAATTATGTTAGTTGGGAGAAGATAGTTTTTTGATATACAAATTTTTCGACACCTGTAAATAATTTAGATTAATCTTGACTGGTAGCTTTGTTTATATATACAAAATAGAAGCGACATGGAGTAATTTTTTTCCTCTCCAAAAAAACTGTGACCCTCATCCGGTTGAGAATAAAACAGGTTTGACCCTCCCCAATTTGTAGAAAATTTACTAAGGACCCTCCCCTCCGAAGCCCCGGCACATCACCCCCCTCCCCAATAAAAAACGTACCTTCCTTAAAGCGTTAAAAAGCAAATAATTACATGCTAATTGGGTTAAATTTAGACAGTTATCATGAAGTACACTGAAGTAATTGTTAGTCGCGTGAAGTTCTATTCTTCTTCGAATAATAGTCAAATGTTGCGGGTGTCCCAGCAAGAGCAATAACCAGGAAAAGGATATACACAGGGAACTCTCTCTGTCATTTTTCACGTGTTTGCATTTTCACGATCGACAACTATCAATTGGCGCGTTCCTGTAATGATGTTCGGGTCCAAAACCAGTCTTGAGAGAGCTGAACCCTTTTTTTGTGTAAAAACGTTCTTTTGTTATTATTTCCATAGCTGCAGGCCACGTGAGTGAAAACGCTCTATTAATAGTTCTCTTTTGCTTGGGTTTGCATAACTGTATCGAATTCTCCCAACCCCTCTCGTGTTAACCTGAGATCAGGCCCAATTTGACCGGTTCTCATACATTCTCTCTAACGGCTACCACTAAAATTGGGCCTGATCCAAACTCATTCCCGTTTGCGCTCGTTACGGCCAGATTTTGGCCGTAACGCTGATTAGCTGTTAGAACAATGCCACAAGATCTGATTGGCTGTCGGAAACGCCGGAAGTTGAAAGCGCTTATTCCTCGCGTGGTTGTTTTCGTCAATGATCCGTCGTCGGCGGAGAGAAGGATCGATTTGATTTTTTTGTAAAACTGAAAAGTTTTCTTAGTCTTCATTTCGACTGACAAAAAAACGACCGCTTAACGAACAAGGTCTATTNGAGAGAAGGATCGATTTTGCTGTCTTTTTTATTGTTTTATGGTCTTATGGTAGGAAAATATGCCTTAATATGTGCCATGGAAATTCAGAAAATTCATATGGTTGTTCATATCTTCTCAGGATTTGCTTTATTTACGGAAAGTGAGTGTATCGCTGAGTTGAATCCCTTTGCAAGTTGTTGACCGCTAACAAGGTGCCTTTTGATTTACCAACAAACGGGTGCAAATCAAAATACTGTCCATCTTAAAACTGGTTGCATTTGAAAGTTTAGCTGGGAATGACTTCTCTGAACGGGGTACGCAAGCGGAGGCTCACTGCAAAAGAAACCTCAATCGCCAACTGTGAAGTATTAGACGAAAAATATCGCATCGCTGTTCAAGGAATTTTCAGTGTTAACAGACTGTGTTAACTCGAAGGTTATTTCTGTTGGCATAGAAGGTAAAAAGTTTTCGAAAAGACGGCGACACGATGTTCTACTAGTTTTATTATTATGGCTAGGCGCGCTCGGATTTAA